ATTTAAAATGCTCTTTGATTGGTAATTTAAGATATGGCTTTTGGATTTGTCAGAAGTGCTTTCCTGGCGTAACCTATCGCTATCCGAATGCAGAGGTTATGACGCTCCTCTTCTGGAAGTATTTGCTTGGGAGTAAGTATTGACATGTGGTCTGAATAGGGTCTGGGAGTCACTAAGGAATACCACTCGTACTAAGGCGCTAGTGATATTTTACGGCGAAGCCTGCGTTTTACAGGCAGGCATAGCCGCTGCGTCAGTGGATGGCAATGCAGTGCCTGTCAATGTCTCTGAGTTTATAAGTGGTGAACTTTACAAGGGTGTTCAGAAATCTGGACGTCGTGAGTACTTCAAGCCTATTCTCTTGAATGTGCTCAAAGTTTTGTGTGTGTCACAGCTGATCACGTGAAGTCCGACGCTTGTGACGAATTAGCCGATGGTTTTACACTTGAAGGACCTGTGCTTTTGTAGAAAACTATCTTGCGAATTTGGTACTCTATCCGGGGAGGTTTGAGCTCTTGAAGTTTCTACCATCAAACACACAGGTGCTGTTCTTTTGGGATATTCCTGCAGCTATAACAGCTGTTACATCAAGTATGCTAGTTGTACAGCAACGGAATAGGTTTTTGGAAGCTCTTTACGTAAATATGAATGATGAAAATCAGAATATGATTGCAAGCTTCAACCCCGCATAGAGGCTCATCACACTCGTAGTAATAAGAGACCTAACAAATTGTACCTGAAAGTGCTTGGAGTTTGTACTTGCAGGCAGTTCTTTTGCAGCCACTGGGTGATGATGGGGTAATGGTACTGGCTAGTGATACCATCCGTGGATTTACACCGGCAGACCAGGTGATGTTCAGTTCCTTTAACCTGGTTGACATGACATCACAGGCTTGTTGAGATTTATTTTATTTTATTTTATTTTTTCTGATCTCTATTTTGGCACGATTAGAAGTGCTATCCCGTGCTGTTTCCACGTCAATCTGTAACTTATGAGCCGCTTCACCCGCAGGCTTGGATAGGAACTATTGCGGAGAAGGTCGACACATCATTACAGAACTGGGTTGCTATTTCTTCGAAAGTGGAGGGTCAAATTCCATTGTAATTTTATGGGGTTGGTGGTCCAGGTCTTTCCCATTTCCATCTTTTCACACAGTGTTCTCTTTGATCACCTCGCTAAGTCTCCAGATTTGAATCCTCACCATCTTCCTTTCATTTGTTATTACGTAGACATCTATGAAGCGATGGGAGCTAAATCCAAGTCTAAGCTTCTGAAGGTGTGAAAAGTAGTGTTGAGAATCCGATGATGACATCGATTAATGCTTCGCAACTCCGTAGCGATTTGGCAATCTTCTCAACTTCTCATCATCAGCTACTTTCCTATGAGCAAAGGTGAACGTAGACGCTGGTACCCGTTCGTGTTCACTGCAACTTTCGGCAATTGCAACATTACGTTTTATTCTACGAAACTACAATGAATCCGGTCTTTGGAAGACAAGGCAGGCTTCCCTCTTCTTCTGCACGTTATGAGGGTTACAACTTCTGAGTACAGTTTTAGATTTCAGGTTTGACATGAAGAACGCGGGTGGATTGACTGGGTTCGTATGGATGTTGCAGGAGTTGGTGTGATTTCTTCAAGGGCTTCCGAACATGGACTCTATCTCCAAAGACATTGCATTAGATTCAGATCGTTATTTCGTGTGCCAATTTCTCCTAAACATTTGGTCTCGAAGCTCTATTTTCAGTATTGGTATGTCTTTAGGATGGCATGCAGCAGCGTCCTCCTATACTTGCTATCTCAGAGCAGTTAATTATACAAGGTATATAAACATCGACTTACAGCTTCGCTTCATCACAATCCATCCTAATCCTTTCAAAAGCTCTCGTATAAATGATAAAACTCTTAGCCCAATATTATACTCTGGATCTATGCGAATCTAGACCTGTACTGGTAGAATTGTAGTAATTGCAAATCTTGAGAATAAAAAATGAAGCTCTACTCCCTTCCGTTCATAATTTCTCTCAGACGCATCTCCGGAAGCATTTTTTCACGTCACTTGTACGAAATCCAAATCCTACTGTGCATGTTTCTGCTCCAAACGTCATGGCCTGTACCTCTCTGCACTGCACTATTCCACGACAAATACTTCTTGTCTTGATTTTACAATTATAGTAAGGTTTTCTAGAATGAATGCTCATTGTGCGAAAAACATTCGGCCACAGGATGGCTCGGATACGGGGCAGCGTCCATCCATCCACCCTGTCTTTCGAAACCCATCCGCTTGTTGTTAGGAATATGACGTGTAGACTCCGAGCTAGAAGTGTCACCTGTCAAACGGAGTCGCAGGGGGAGAGAGAGAGCACAGCGGGATTGAATTTGGGGCAGAAGGATGGTCACCGTTAGCGCATGATCGGAGCCTTCTGCGCTTTAGTCTCCTGTCAAGATGGTGAGTTTTGGAACCCCACTCCTCCTCTTTTTTTCTTTTTTTTTTTTTTTTTTTTTGTTTGCATTTCCGTGCTCATTTCTGCTTCTTCGCGATCTGATTTGATGAAGATCCACTTGATGGGTAAAGCCTTTCAGAATCCTTTGTTGATTGAAAACGACGCAGTTTCAGACTCCAGGATCCAGAAATTTTTTATGGGTTGATTTCGATAGTTCGGTTCCGATCGTACAGGGGCTCGTATTTGTTTTTTTCCTGTTTGGTTGCTGAGTGGAGGTACTGCTTGTGATTTGTGTCTGTTGCATCGATTGGCTCCTTTGGGTATTTGGGCCCCGTTTGAACTTTTCAATGTTTTTTGTCTAAATCATTTTCTTAGTTCTTCTCGCGTATTGTGTTTGTAGGGAATGGCTTAGATGTTTTGCTAGACCTTAATTTTTCGATGGCGTCTTTTTTGGCTACTTCTGGAAGTCTTGCTGGTGCACCCGTGGTGTAAATAATTAGGTCTGTTCGCATTAGATTTGTATGAGGAGATTTAGATTTTGGCTATTAACTTGTGCTAAACTAGGATTGCTAACTTAGGGATGGAGGATAGACTTCCCTAAGAAACAATACTTTACACCTGTCGAAATTGTGGGGAAAGTTTTCAGCTGGATTTAATCACTCTGTGCGGGATGATGATGCCTCTCAATTTTTGAGAATCCTACACCCTCTATTTTATAGACCTAACATGTTACTGTGACTGACTTCGATTCGAGGACTATTTTGAAGAGATGAAGATTAGCTCTTAGCCTTAAATTTCGGTAAGCTAGAATGTTGCGGAATCACGTTTGTAGAATGAGAAACAGGTGAGGTTTTGGTGCTAATTTGCGGCGTATATTAAGCCCGTGAATTACATACTTTCTAGTTGTGCTGTTATCTGACAATACTGATCACTCTGGTTTACTTTTTGCCCTCATGTGAGTTGTTCTGTTATTAATCGGAATTCTTTAGCATGAAATTTGTTAGATGTAAACTTGCGTTTGGTGAGTTTAGCGAGACATAATGACACAACGAAGTAGATGCTTGGGTTTACTGCAATGGGCGTTTCTTTTGGGCCACTGGAGCTGTTAAGTGAATATTCAGTTTCTCTCTCTCTCTCTCTCTCTCTCTCTCTTCTTTTTTTTTTTTTTTTTTTTCTTTTCCCCTTGCATTTGTCTGTTCGGATTCTCTTTGTCAATAGGTTCTTTACAGATCCTTCTCTGCGTGGTTTCTCTACCCAGTCTTGTCTGGATTTATGAATATTCATTGCACACATCTTCTTTTTTGCAGGTCTATCATTCATCATTAAAGGTTGATGATGAAATTCAGCAGGCATGCAGTTGTCCTATTCTTCCTCTAAAAAGCCATATTAGAGGGCCTGCCCCTACTGCTGAAGCAGGTATGTGTATGCAATATGGATTTTGACATAGTGGCGGTCACCCTACTGCAGCTTGTTATCCATGCATTGAGGAAAGTTGCAATCTCCAACTTCTTTATGGTATTCGCATGCACATTTTGGAGGACTTATTGAGAGCTTATAGGGGTCGTCTGTGTAATCTTCACAATCAGGTAGTATGGACATTATCGATGAGGCTATCAACTACTTCCGTGCGAATGTCCTCTTTAGGAAGTTCGAAATCAAAGGTCCTGCGGACAAGTTGCTAGTTTATTTGACCCTGTATATCAACATGGCCCTTAAACGCATTGAAGCATGCAAAACAGAGGCTGATGGCGTGAAGGCTATCATTAACCTTGGTCTGGAGAAGTTCCCTATTCCTGGTGAACCTGGATTTCCTTTAGGAGGCCTGTTTACCGCACCGCAAACAAGGGAAGAAGGAGGTAGCTGATTCTCTATCAAGTCACTTTCATGGTTGAGCAGTTTTCTGCCCGACATATTTGAAGGTAATTGGAAGTATGCAGCAGTGCGCATGGACTAACTAGGATTGTGTGGCTCTCTGTAGACTTGTTGCGGAACTACTTCAAGCAAGTGCGGGAAGAGACTAGTGGAAGATTGATGGAGAAAGTATATCGCCAAAATGGCACACCCAACAAGTGGTGGCTGGCATTTGCAAAGAGGAAGTTTATGAATATCATGATGCCGCTTTGATTGTGCACTAGCAGTTATTTCCCTTGTCCATTCGTTTAGATTGGTCGACTTAAATCCAGAGTCTAACTTGATGTCGTGTTTCAACGTTCTTCACTTGTCGGCTGGCAACACTAAATTATTTGGCCTGATTCTTCCTTCGCCCTAACATACACAAGTAAACACTCAAACGAGTTCCACTATTCGGAGGGTGGTCTTTGTGCTTGCTTACCACCTCAAAAGCCGACCTCATAAGGTATCAAGTTCTCAGAACGAGCCATTAGGCTCTAGCCTCAACTGCTTTGAAAAAAGAAGAAGAAACTCAGGAGGATTGTTACAGGGATCAGTAGGGAGCTGGAACTGTAGATAGACTTTGAATAACTTGTACAACAGCCCAGCGGTTGAATCTGTACAATGAACCTTGTTGAGAGGTTTCGAGAAGTATACAACTTGCTTCATTTGTGAAGCCTACAGTTTCTTTCACATCAATTTCATGCACAGGACATTTCCACGTTGATCACTGTGTCGACAATTTCTGCCTCTTCTCAGACAACCAGCAAACTCTTCCAAGCCCCAACTTTTCTCGACATATGATCTTCAAGCATGCAGGCAAACAGTACTTGATGCCCTGTGTGGCATACATGCCGTGAAAATGCAAACACCCCCTTCACTTAGGTTCTGAAATAAGTAGTTTTTGGTTGGGACTTGACGTGGTATCAACCTTGAAACATACAACGCACTTGAGCCTCATGTGACGAAGAAACTCAGTATCAACTTGAAAATCAGGAGAAGGATGAGGTAAAATTGCAATTGATGAAACGGGTCGTAGGTCATTGCAGAAAACAAAGACAATGAACTTGAAGAAACATGATTTTGTACCAACACACACGAGAACTTGAAGGGATCAGCATTCCCCAGACCGGCTTTAAATTCTCCAACTTCTCACGCGAGAGATCTGATTTTCCACTGACACCATCCAAATGAGCTTGCCATCACGCGACTATTTGACAGGGCTCGACGGTCACGAGCCAAGGCCAACAACGAGAGAATGAAATCCAGTGAGCTCACCCACAATCGCTGTAAGCCAGCCAGCCGCACACTGTAAAGGCCCGCAGTCTGTTTTGACCTTACCATCACCCATCCCCACGAGGGCAACAACGTGAAGAGGCGGGACTGCATTCACACAGCATGACAACAGAGAGTCAACACCGCGTGCAGAAATCAGCAGGAATTCACGTGCGGGATTTCATGGCCAGTAGGGTGAGATCGGACCCCGCGACGCGCATCAGTCTCTTCTTCTTCTTCTTCCAGCTGCGACGACGACGGACGGACGGAGGCGATAAGGTTGATGTACCTACCACCGTGCAGACTGCACTGTTCACACGGCGGAAGTGGTTTCTTCACGGTCATAGGACTTGCGACTGGAGAGCTCCTGTATTCCAGCTCATTTCCACGGCGACTTGCATGCGCATGCACCGAATTCCAGCTCATGGATTACATTTCATTTATGTGGGTCATATCTTTATCTTATCTTTTTAAGAGGAAATGTCCCGAATTTGTTCATTTCCACACATGATTAAAATTATTTTTTTATTACATTTTTTCATAATAATTATGTGTTTTTTTATGCCAATATTATAATGTATTTGTATGATATTTTCAAATAATTTTATTCCATATTTCTTTTCTATTTCTTTCATATATTTACATGTTTTATATGTTTTATTTTTTTAATTCTTGATTATATAACAAAGTTCCAAAATTGAAATCCAACATCTCACGGTCTTTTCGTCGAATAGACGAACGAAATCATTTTCCGTCGGGTAACGACGGAAAGCAAAGTTCTCGTCTACCGAAGTTCAGCGCCGACGTCGTGCGACGCAATCCAGGAAAGGTCGGTGCCGCAGCGTCGCGAATGGGCTCGAGTCTAGGGCAGGCAGGATTTCGAGAGAGAGAGAGGGAGACGTCGCGAATGGGCTCGAGTCTAGGGCAGGCAGGATTTCGAGAGAGAGAGAGGGAGACGTCGCGAATGGGCTCGAGTCTAGGGCAGGCAGGATTTCGAGAGAGAGAGAGGGAGACGTCGCGAATGGGCTCGAGTCTAGGGCAGGCAGGATTTCGAGAGAGAGAGAGGGAGACGTCGCGAATGGGCTCGAGTCTAGGGCAGGCAGGATTTCGAGAGAGAGAGAGAGGGAGAGCGAGAGAATTCAGGCACAGAGGGGCAGGATTTCGGGATTTCGAGCGAGCGGGGGGGGGGGGGGGATGTAGAGGGTGACGATGTTGAATGTGGAAGGAACAGTTTCCGGGTTGTTGTGAAGTAAAATTTAGACCGGAACCCTCCTCAACTTGTGTGAGTAATTTTCGCGCAGTGGTCATGGATTTTGACTCTGGCATCTCTCTTCAACAAGCGTGCCCTCCGTTGTGCTTGTTGAGCATGTTGCGGTCGTGAGCCCTGAGATTATATACAATTCATGAGTTGTGATTTTAGTTTTATTTTTTTTTAATTTTATTTTAATGAGGACAAAGTGAGTCTGAGCGTGTGGAAGTTTTTGACGGGGGTTGATTTAGAGGTTTGCTGTGTGTTGCTGTTGTGAAATTGGGTTAGTGTTTGGGAGAGAATCGTGAGCTTGAGCACTGAAGGGTAGTGCAAGTGCTGGACCTGCGCGAAGGGGTATGGCGTCGTATAGTTTGGAAGAGTTTTTAGGGGCGAGGGTTTTGAAGGGTTTGGGCGTGAAGTTCGCCGCAGATGGCTGGGATGATGTGCCCACGATCAAGATGATCGACGCTGAAGACATGGAGGCGCTTGAACTTACCGACGCCCAACGAGTAAGTGTTGGAACGATTTTGTGTTTGATTTTTTCTAGTTAGCTAAGCGTCTCGCAACTTGATTGCGCCGTGCGCTCTTTGCAAGTTCTCAACACCTGTTCAGTTCTGATCATTGGGATGTTGCTGAGGCTTCTCACTATTGTTTTGGAATCTACTATCAAGGTCTCGAGCTGGGAGATTTACTTGTAGGCTCTGAATGTATGATAGGAACCTTTTAGTGTTTCAGTAGTTCTGAAGCTCCGGCGTCTTTTGTTGATTTCGTCCTCAGCCTCTCCAATTCAGCCAGAGTTGGATATCATGTCGACATTCTAAATTTGACAAATGCTCATCTTACAGGATGCGTTGGAATTGCGAATCTATCTCCACAATCGCTCTCTACTGCAGTACGCAGACAGTATGGAAGGCTCGGGTATTGGCCTCATTGACTTAATGAGTATGAAACCTGCTGACCTAGTCTCGAAGTTTGGGATGCGTAAGAGTCATGTTTCCACCTTCATCGACACATCCGCTTCTTGTGGTCTTCAAATGCCGCCGAATCTTCCCAGAGTGGCTTCCCAACGCCGCCCCTCCATTATCTCGCGAACCAACGAGACAGGAAATCCAGCCCCCGAGTCGCAAGTAACAAATTCTGCCGATAATCAGACCCAAAGATCTACATTGAGCTACGTCTCCTCGTTTGGGAACGCTATTGACGAACCACCACGAGGCTCTAATGTGGGCGACGACTTGTCGTTTGGGAATTCTAGTGCCATGGATTCGCCTTCATCCCCTCCTCGTTTGTCAAATGCAAGCGGAATGCGGTTTGAGCCACCATCTTCGTTGAGGCCAGTGGATGCCAGAAAACCAAATTCTCCACAGGGAGTATTTGGAGCGAACTTGAACACTGCCAGCCGGCGTATGTTTGGTCTGGTAAAGGCGCCGAGCCCTGACAATGTCACGAAGTTATCAACACTAGAGAAAGTATCGTTACAACAACTTGCACCAGAACACAAGGATGGGGTAGATCCCGAAACAATAAAGCTCCAGAGCAAGCCTCGGTCCTTCAAAGCATCCAATCTCTGGGCCGATAAGGCAACTCTCTTCTTCTGCATCCGGCGACCTGGGTATGTTACTCTTTGGTTGCCTCCAGATGCGATAAACTTTGCCGCTTTATTGGATTTTAGAAGGTTTGGCCCTCTTCTTTGCTGTGTTCTTACAAAGAAGTTCATGTCCGTCTTGCAGGTGCGTGATGTGTAGGGCGGAAGCATATCAGCTGTTCGCTCGGAAGCCTATTTTTGATGCACTGGGCATTCAATTGGTCGCCGTTCTTCTCGAATACATAGACGATGAGGTGTATGCTTTCTGGCCTCGGTACTGGGCAGGCATGGTTGTTCTCGACGAGAATCGCGATTTCTTCAGGGCGCTTGGAGGTGGGAAATTGATGAAGGATAACCTTTTCACCGGGTTCTTTTTGAATCCGATTGCCCGGCTAAACTGGAAGCGCGCCGTGAAAACTGGTATTCCTTACAATACGAAAGGAGAAGGATTCATCAAGGGAGGACTGTATATTGTCCGCAAAGGAAGTGGAGGTGTTGCGTATCAGTTTGTGGAGAAAATTTTTGGTGATTGGGCGCCGCTGGACGAAGTCCTACAAGTTTGTTACATCATTAAGGTGGTCATTCCATTTCTTTTCTTTTAATTGTCTCCCGGCCAATTATGTCTTGTCGCTGAAAATTTCAGTCCAGCTTTCTGCTGTTGTTCCCCAGTTATATTGGAAAATTTCTGCGCTGAATGAGTGAAACAGTCGTAGCCCTTAATCATACATGCCGTGAATATGCTCTTGGAATACATCAACTAACTGCGATAGGGTGTTGTCTGTGCAGGGAGAGGAAGAGTCAAAAGACCATTAGTATTTTTTTGGCCGTTACTCGCTGATTCACCCCTGTGAATCACCTGTATTTTAAACAATTCTTCATCAGGTTAGAAGCCCAATTGCGTGATTAGACACAGGTCTAGAGGTTAGGATCAAATATCACTTCCTTGTAGATAACTGCTTTATTATGTTGGCTTGGATGTACTTAGAAGTTATTGTCCTGAATCAAAAATTCTCTCTACTTGTATTTCTTTTAAAACAATAAGCTGTAGATAGGATTGATGTGATGATCTTTTATGTTTTTACAACAGTGGTTGCATTTGTGTTATGGTATCGAAGTTCTTTTGTTGCACTGCACGATGATGTTCCGATTTGCTTTTGTTGAAAGGCTCCAATGGCATTCTGTGAAAGACAGCTTGGTGTTCTGTTTCAAACTATGAAGTGTCGCACTCGTGAAGTCCTGGTCGAATTGATCATGGCTGGTCCAAACGTCAGAGACCTACTGAATATATAGGCTCTGTCGCATGACCATCATAATCTGGGTATTGTAAATTCGTGCGTTCCCGTGAACCGCGGCTCACAGCATGCCTTTGTGTTAGTTTCGAGTTCAAACATGTGTCATATTGAATGCAACCAATGAAGATTAATTTGCAAACAGGGCCTCGCCGTAAGCAACCAATCTGCTCGAAAAATTGCACAGCAGAAGTCTGAAAACTGGGTCTTGAATGATTTACTTGTGACGTGCACTGCTCTTTCTCAATGCCTTCGAATTGATTTTATTATCGAAAGCTCAAATCTCGTCTCTGCTAATTCATAGCTGACATTCAGCTTGAGCCCTCTCATATCCCTTTTGTAAATCGGCAAGTCATCAAGTACTTGACAGGTCTATACATCTCTAATCATCATGTATTGCTACCTTTGAGTGTGGAATTCATGATTTCCAGAGTTCACGGCACAATGCTACGAAATTCAAATGAAACATTCAAACTACGCCTGATGAAGACTTTGAGGAAATTCACATCACACAACCGATTATTCTTCGTGGCATGGTTTTTAATCGTGGGTGGTTGATCAAGCCACGTACCTGAGATTGGTGATTTCATGCAGCAGGCGTGAAAGTGGATGAAGAGATGAGATCACCTGCTGAAGCTGCTGCTCTTTGAAATTGAAAACAGTCTAGTTTCAAGTGTGTTTTTTTTTCGACTGTGCTCTCCAATCAATACAAGATAGTCGTGATCTCTACACTGATCGATACTTAGTTGCTTAATCTGAACATATTGTCTAATTAGGAAATTTCTGTCCATAAGTGTGCTCTAGTGTGGTTCCCTATTGCAGGGGAATATTCAGAATCCATTCGAAGAGCAGGGTCAAAGATGATTTAAGAGTTATAAGTGTATACGTTATCGTCAAAAACATGTATACCACGTAGGCATATCCAAAACTGTACACTCTTCTTCGGAGTTATGTATTACGGAATAGAGACCTGGAACTGATTTTAGTAATTGCTGCTTAAGCTGGGCATGCTAACAACTTCAATTTTTCCACATACAATAAAAAAGACGAGCTAATAGACACCTGAAACTTTTGTTTTAAATTCAAGTGAATGACGCAGGAACTGAGCTTGTGAAATACAAAGCTATTGTGTTTTATGCAAATTGTGACGTTGAGTTTGTCATGCATGACAGCGAGTTCCCTCAAGCTAGGCGAGGTCATCCAACACCGTTGCTGGAGTTTGCATAGAATGAAGAATTTTTCTGCATTTCATGCCAAAAACTGTTTTCATGGCAATCTAGGCATGGCAGCAAGATCAATCATCAAGGAGGCTGGAACTTTGCCTTCCGCCCATTGGACATAGCGACAATTGGCAACATAGTTGCACCCATTTTCTAAAGCACCAGTTGTCTCTACGCAACTACCATTACTCATCAAAGTTAACCTGCTGGGCGGCAGAGGATGATCAGGCACGAGATAAGAAAAACGCTGCTGAAGACTACCAGAAAAAGAATCACCAAAGAATAGATGTACTTGAATCCCGTCTTAGTTGTTGCAGCCTCGGAATGATGATACTTTGTGAGCTTGGGAAACACGAAGTCTTTCCCCATGCTCTTCAGCAAGACTATCTGCAGATGCAGCACCTGCGATCCAAATCGCTACCAATCAATAACTGGCTGCAGGCACACTGAACTGAACTCTTCCATATCGATGGCCGACGACACTCAAACCTGATTATTTTTTCTAATTACCGTCATCTCAGCAGAAACCAACAACTGCAAGTGTTGAGAGCACCGCTGACGGAGAACATTGCTTTTTCGTTTCATAGAATTAGTTTTAATTTAGAAACAAGCTCACTGAAACAACGCACGGCGTGCAACCAAACCTGTGACTGCTGTCGGTCTTTTTCGAGAATGCATTTCAAGAAGAAGAGGCTCCTCAGCTTTTGTGTGACGGCCCAAAGAGTTGCAAGGCATGCCAACGATGACAGAGTGAAGGGGATCCACCACGTTTGGCAGCTGAGGGAACTCGTGTGCGCAACTGCAGTGAGCACCACACCCTGAAAGACGCTAAAGTACCCGATTAGTTGATGTATCTCGCTCCGGTGTCGGTTGCATTTGTTCTCCTCGTTCTCAATTTTCCCCCACGAGTAATTGAAGTTCTGCTCCCATTCTTTCAGGATTGTCCGCAATCTGGGTGTGGCCTCTATCTCTGCCAACCGATTCGCCTCGGACTCAGTGGGAGGTGTTGCAGTGATCCCCTTGTCTTGCAGGTCCAAACGCGAAGGTGACGATTTGCTCCAGGCTGCTTGATCGGCTGCAGTGGCGGTGGAATGGAGCACCACCACAAGTTTAAATACCTTGTTTCCATTGAGGATGTGGACATAGTGACCCGACATCTTGTCGTCAAAACCAGTGTCCTCAGAGAGAGATATGGCTGTTTTCTCACTCGAGGAATCAAAATGGGACACTCCATTCTGCACCTCGTACAAAGGATCTCCAAGTGCAACTCCGGCCATGATCAGGCAAGTGGGATAACTAATTCATGACCTTCCAAGGGAAAGAGTGGTTGAATGAAATACCCTCTCGCCCAAGCCATGAATACCATACAAACCTGGACCTTACATTTGAACTATCTTGATCCATGTATGTAACTCCCTTGGTAGCTTCCATAACTCGATCAAGACAGAACAGGCTCGTCGTCAGGTACTCCCACAATTTTGAGGTGAGCTCTGTCTGATTCAGAGTTCGCGGACCCCAGTGACACTGATGGATGTCCAACATCGCCACCAGCCTCAGGCAACTTTCAAGCCTTCGGATCGTTAGGCTCTGATAAATATTACATATATATTACATATAAGTGCAAATTACACAGCATTCACTGGTTACGGACAGGCACTACTATTCACTTTACGCCGTGTGTGTAAAACAGGATGATGTTGCTGACTCAAACATGTCTCGGATCTTTTCAGATATTGTTCCCTGGTAGGTGATTAAGCCTCATTCCATGACCCGAAGAAGTATTGAAGAGAAAAAAAAAAAAAAACCTAAAAACAAATAACAATAAAATCCCCTTTGATTATTAGTTGTAGCAGGTTGAAATTTAGTCAGATAAAAGCTGCGCCGCCTTCAATGCATACCTGTTCTCTATAAGCATCAAACTCTGCATTCACCTGTGCGTGTAAAACTCTTCCCCTGCACTTCTTGTGCGGTGAAGTGTGCGGTTAAGGAGAAGTGTGCGGTCTTTTCAACTGTGCAGGAAAACGCCTGTTCGATATGCTTCCACGAGGCCGCCCTTTTGCTCTCGAGAAAGTGTAGCCCTGGGTGCACATAGAATTTGTGGCAAACAATTCACGGTGGAGGCGCCTCACAGTAGATGTACAATACACGCCAGATGTGGCTGTTGCACACGGACGCAAATGAAACATCTCTTAGCTACTTCAACATGAAGTACTCATTATCGGTCTCTTGAGAATTCTCACAAGCAGTAGTGCAATTTTACGCGTCAGCCACCATTTCTAACTTGCAAGGCTTGTCTCCATCTCTACCCTCAGACCCACTGAAAGTTGACAGTCGTGTGCTGAACCAGCAAGTCGTGTTGACACAGTAGACCATGTTGGCAGGCATATCGATATGTTCAGTCCGGAGCTTTACAGGTTTCTATAGCTGTCGATATGAAGACTGGATACTTGCGCGATTCTCTGCACCTTGCCCTGCTTACACTTTTTGGAGATTGTCCTGGAAAGCGCTCAGAAAGGATTCTGAGAATAGTCGCCATCTCCTCCACGCCTCACCATTCCCAAATTGAGAGGTCACTGTGCCGCACACCATTCAAAGGCTAAGGTAGCTCTCCGCTAAAACTCTGGACATCTTTGAAAACGTAGACAGGCGACACATTGGTGATGCTTCACAATCACGGACCTTAGATGACTTCATTGTGTACTGTGAATTGTTTATTTCGAAGCGTCCTGGGAAATGAATTTGACTCTTCAGTGATCTGAATTCAAGCCAGCGGTCGTTATTGCTCACCACAGCAATTCACTATTTGCAAGCGATGCAACGAATATGTTACATGAACTTGCACCAGCAGAGGTCTAACTCCACTCTGATCATGTGAGTCCTGAAGAAGGGTTTGAGGTGAATTGCAAAATCGCTTGTCGCAATACCGTACTTAAACCATTAAAAGGCAACGAAGATATCTCTTAGTCGCAGTGCCAGCAAGGGTGGTGCAGAAAGCTCCTTGCATTTACAGTTTACGGTTATTTAATCAATCTGTTGTGAGGTGCATTTCCTTCACAAGTGTAACCTTTTCTTCACCCCAATTGCAGCACAAAGTAGGTTCTGTTCACGCTACAATCTCACAACACCAACACAGCAGTTTGGCGAATGTTTCGAAAATCAAAAGCTGTTGATTTTGGAAAGTAGATGAGAAGTGGCAAGTAGAGGTTGGTAGGGAGCGAGAACCGTTCGCCGGTGGCTTCAGCACTCGATGTATCCGCCAGACCCCAAATCCTGCATCCCTTCTTCGAGTCCCACTCAGATCAATTTACGAGCTCTCGAAGGCTCACGGAGTAGTTGGCGGTGACGCGGTGCAGTCAATCAAGTTGAGATTCCAGCACTTTGGGGAGGTAACAAAAGGATATTCTGCGTAGATGGGGTGGAATTTTGGCATGGAATTGTGCTATCCTGGTCTGAATCCATTATGATGAGAAGGATGATTCTCGAGGTTGTTGTTGTTGTTGTTTGTTTGATTTCTGAGTCTGTTTGCGTCACTCTCCATATTTGCGTGGAATTGAGGAGCCTACAGTGTCTCCGTCCCTTTCTTTCTATTCCTTTACCTGTCCTTTTATATATTTGTAAACAAATATCTCCAGCTACTTGAAGTGAAGTGTATACCTCAACTACTTTTAACATCCTTCAGACCCAACAGCCTCTGGACAGGGAACAGGAACGCACGCAGAGCAATTACACTGACACAAGGAGCAGAGGGGCACTCCACTTGACCATCCATTACAGAAATAAGAGGCATCGCCCCATCCGAATTACGACCCCAACAGGGCATCATGATCCAAGGAGACACCGAAGGTAGGACACCACAAACCACTCGAGAAGGCCATTTAGATGGCCGTTTAGATGAGGGTTTGTGTATTGGGAGAATTATTCCATATAGTACACTAGTCTCTTATATAGAATACTATCCACGAAGTATTGACCTTGTGACTCTTGGTGTCACTCTCATACACACAATGTATTGGATAATATTGATCATATTAATACACATAATGTTTCCAATATGGTATCAAAGCTACAGAAATATTTGATTCCTAAAAAAACTGTAAGAGTAGATGAATGTTTTAATCTAGAAAAGAATTGCTGAAATTACAAATCAGGTTGTAATGATAACAATAAAACAATCTATTGTAATAAGAAAGGTTGATGAAGAGCTTGAAGTTCTTCAAGCTATGAGAAGCAATTCTAAACCTAAAAATGGCAACAAACAAACCATAAATAAAGGTAAAATTGAATTGATTAAGAATAAATTTATAAATAATTTTAATTTAACTTCCAATTAACAATATTAAAGATGATACAAAAAGTGAACATCAATCATATTTCCAAATTTGATGGTTCATATTTTAATATATGAAAACATAGATTAATACTAGTTTTCAAGGCTAAAAAGTTATGGCCCATAGTAAGTGGTGAAGAATGCTTATTAGTAAAATCAAAGGAAGCTGAAATTGTTGTTGGAATCCTAACTTTATTTGCCCTAGGAATAGAGAGTACAACTACATGGATAGATACCTTCTTTTTAACCATTATCAAGAATTACCTAGAAAATAACATTGTTTCATATATACAATCTTGTATATCAATAAATTTAGTATGATAAGAATTAATAAAAATATTTGAATCACATGATGTAGTAACCAAGATGTATTTAAAAGATAAATTATACATCTTAAAAATGAGAAAAGGTGATAGTGTTATTAAACACATATATATCTTTATAACATATTTGAAATAATTTTTAGTAATAGGATCAGCAATTTTAGATGAAGTAATTCTCATCTTAATGAGAAGTTTGCCTCTAAGTTATAGATCTTTCATTAGCTCCTTAAAAAAACAATCTAAGATCACATTAGCATATTTGATAATAAATTTGATCTAAAAAAAATTTACTTATGAAAAATGCAAGTTTAACATCTAATAATAATTCAATCCTATATTTAGGTAAGAAATTTCAAAACAACGAAAAAAATCTTATTTTAATAAGAATTATATAAAAAATTTATAAGGAGAAAATATTATCTTCAAGCGACATGAAAAGAATAATTTTGCTATTGACAAGAAGTATTTTTTGCAAAAAACTATATCACTTGATCAAAGATTCCAAAACAAAATGACAACTAAAAATTGTAATAACAAAAAATATATATATTATTAAAAAATTAAATAAATTATATGTGGTAGTATTTATAGTTAAAGTAAATTCAAATTCAATGTCGTTTATAGATTTGAGAGTAATTCAACATCTGTGTCATGACTTAGAAGGATTTGTCAAATACATCAAAAGTAAAGATAAATAAATTATCTATTTAGGAGACAATACTATATCATATATAATAAAAAGATATAGTGATGTAAATATCAAGCTTGCAAATAGTGATAAGAAGATCATATTTGATGTATTACATATACCAAGACTTGCAAAGAATTTGTTCTCTACCAAACAATTGAACAAGACAAGAGGAGAAATTTACATAAAGATTGGAAAAACTACATTTATAAATAAATTTGGTCAAAAAATTGTAATAAGTAAATTAAATCCTGATTTATATGAATTAGATACTACAATTCTTTTAAATAAGTCTCAAATTGCTATTTCAATAACAACACAATCAAATAAAGTTGATTTGTGGTACTTGAGACTAGGATACATAAATCCGCAAAGATTCAAATAAATACAAATAGTGTCAAAAGGAATTGACTTCTTTGATGAAAAGAAAATTACCTCATGTCAACCTTAAATAGAAAGTAAACAATATAAAGAAAAGTTTCTTACACAAAGTACACAAAGAGTTATTCAATTATTAAAACCTTTATATTCTGATATTTATGGTCCTACATTTAGGATGTACTTCAATATATTTGTTGATGCTCTAAGAAGATATTGCCATGTGTATTTGATGAAACAAAAATCTGAAGCATTTTAAAAATTCACTTTATACAATTTTTTTGTAAAAAAATAAATAAATTTCAAAATTAAAATTTTAAGATCTTATTTTGGAGGTGAATATAAATCAAATAAAATTAAAGATTTATGTAATAAAAAAGAATTAAATAGGAATATACTTTAACTTATATACTATAATAAAATATTATTTTTGAAAGAAAAAAAAGAACATTGATAGGAGCAATTCTTGCAATGCTATCCTATTCAAACTTACCTAATTTTAAGATAAAATACTTTAAATAGCTTATTATGTCGAAAATAGGAGCCCTACAAAAACTATATAAGATACCAAAATACCATTAGAATTATAGTACAAAAGACAACCAAAATTATCATTCTTTAAAATATTTGGTTGAAAAGCTCATATATTCATTCTTAAAAAAACAAAAAAAAGTTAGACTTTCATTCATAAGAAGCTATCTTTCTAGGCTGTAGTGAAGAATCTAAAGTATATAGACTTATAAATACATAAATCAGCAAATTATCATTTCAAAAGATGTTCTTTTGAATGAAAATCTACATAATCAAAAAGAAACAACATACTTACAAAAGAATAATAAAGAGCTCTGAATAGACTTAGAATTATTTTAGCACCCTTCAACAACTATAAGATCCAATGAGTAAAACATACATCATGTTTAAAGAATGTCTTCACTACCAAAGCCACTACTACAAGAAATACATGTATTTGATGAATAACAAATATATATTACTTTTCAAAATAAGAGAGAACAACCTCCTTCTCACATTGATGGCATTGAAGCCTTATTTCAACTATCATTGCAAAATGATCAAAAGATCTTATTTCTTTAAATATGATGAAATCCATTCTACATTGCAAGATTCATGTCTTCCTTTTAGTTCTCAAATAACAAGAATTATTAAACCAACCATAAGATTGTTAGAGTCTATACCACAAAAAAAAGAATATAAATGCTATTGTAATTGACATCACTAAGTCCACCTTTTTTTTATCAATATAGAAGCTCAAAATTCCATTCAAGAAAAAATAGAGAAGATTCATGCTTAAAAATAGAAAAAAATTAATGCTAAAATCAAATCTTTAAATAAAAATGATATATAAAAAATGATAAATTTATTTTTCAAAAAAAAACCAATAAATTCAAAATAGATTTTTAAAATAAAAATCAAAGTTGATAGAAGTATTGAAAAGTATAAAGCAAGGCTAGTTGCAAGAAATTTTATCTAAGTTCAAGATATTGATTACATAAAGACATACTCTCATGTAGGCAAATTTAATTCTATCAAAATTCTTCTTATTTTAGCTCCTATCAAGTTGGAACACGACTATATGGTGAAAGATGATAATATGGATCTTATTATAGAAGAGCCAAGTTAAAAGAAAAGGTAGGAAAATATGGATAAAAGATAGGAAGGTAATAAAACTTTTAGTAGTAATGCTGCCCTTTTAGAAAAAATAGCTTCTACTTACTTTGTAGGGCCAAAAATAAGGCAAAATAATGTAGATTGGAAAAATAAATGAATAGACATCTTTAGGATAAAGTTAAGAGTAAATTCTAGTAAAAATTACTTAAAAAAAACTAGATGTTGATACCCGGAGAGGGCCGGTTATGAACCAGGGTCGAAATCAGACCCTGAGGCACAAAACCGAGTCTCGACGACAACTCCGGGACTCTTTGGCAGATCGGAGAGTGGGATTTGATAGAAGATTGGATAGAGTTTCTATAGGCATTAATTTTGGGTGATTTGAAGTTGTTATGACTTTGTAAGAGCTTTTCAAAGTCAAGGTTTGTTTTGGATGACTTGGGTTTTATGTTTTGGGTGATTTTAAGAGTTTTGTAATAGATCTATGGGTGAAAATTTTGTAGGTTTATGGTTATAGTTGTTTTTAATATGTGTTGTAAATTTGAGCTCGATGTAATAGTTGAATTGAGGGATATTGAGGTTTGAGTGGGTCAAGGTCTCAAAAAGTAGAATTTTAGGTCTAGTGGGGATTTTTAAGATTTCTTGCAATATACGGATTGGATTGGAGTGAAATATATATGAGAGAATATTAGACTTGTTTTTCTATGTGTTTGAGAATTTTAAGATCAATCGAACAATGCAAAAGAGAGATATTGGCTCTAGAAGATTAGCATCAAGATTGGAGAAAGAGGCGGGCCAATACCTGAGTATTTTTGGTTAGGGTTTATTTAGGGTTTAGGATTTGGTTAGGATTTGCTTTAGGATTTAGGATTTAGATTAGGATTTGATTAGGATTTTATTTAGGATTTAAGATTTAATTAGGGTTTGGTTTAGGGTTTAAAGTTTGGATTTGGATTTGGTTTAGGGTTTAGGATTTGGATTAGGGTTTGGTTAGGATTTGATTTAGGGTTTAGGGTTTGGTTTAAGGTTTGGTTAAGATTTGGTTTAGGTTTTGGTTGGGGTTTGCTTTAAGGTTTATTTAGGGTTTGATTTAGGATTTAGGATTTTATTAGGATTTAAGATTCAATTAGTTTTGGCCTAAAGTTTGAATGAAGTTTAATAGGATTTTAACTAGAATTAAATTAAGATTGAATTGAAATGTATTTGAGTGATATTTGTGATCTTTCTAATATTTCTTTAAAAATTCTTATTATTTGTTTGAAATTTTTTTGAGGTTTCTTTGAATTTGATTAAGCTTGCTTACCATTATTATGGTTTAATTAGAGCATTTTTAGTATTCTATTAGAATTAGGATTTTGTTATTATAATTTCCATTCTTCTTTCCACAGCTAGGTGTCCAGAGCATTCTCAAGCAAGACTTCATGTATTACGATACCACTCAATATAATTTGAAAACACATCAATTAGATGTTAAAACACCTATTTTAAATGATTTTATAGAACAAGACATCTTATCAAGGATATGAAATTTGAAAAAAAAAAAAAACTCACTACAATCTTATATCATTCAAAAAGATTAGAAAGTCACTCATAGATGATAATATATTGAACTAGAATGACTATTGTTAAAGATAAAAAACTAAAAAATCTTAAAACAAGACTAAAGACTAAAAAGGTATTTACAAGAGTAAAGAAGGCTTCACTCTTG